GTTCATTGTTCTCCATGCATTTTTATAAATAAAAAACAAATGAACACTTTAGTAAAAAATTTTGAGGACCCCCAAGATACCTCTCACAGACCTCTGGGGATCCAGGGACCCCTGTTTGAGAACCTCTGACCTAGTGGATAAGTGACACACATATGAACAAAATGAGTGACAGCTTTCACCTTCAGCTGTTAACATTAACGTTGATTAATAATATTTAAAAGCCTCAATTAGTGCTTCTAAATTTAGCCTATAAATTTAGCAAGTGCTAATCTACTAGTGTAGTTTGCCATCATCAGTGTGTGAATGTGAGTGTGAATGGGTGAATGTCTGTTAGTGTAAAGCGCTTTGGGGTCTGGAGGGACTTGAAAAGCGCTCTATAAGTTCAGTACCATTTACCATTTACCATTTTACTAAAAAATTTTAAAATTAGCAGAAGTCCTAAAACACTAATCAGGAAATTAGTTCCCCTAATAGTGCTTAAGGGGAACTGTACCCACCACTGCAAATTGCAATAAAGTTATTGTTAAGGTTTGATTAAAATGTTCACCAATACATCAATAGAAAGTGATCTTGATCCTAAACTCTGGCATGAAAGGTTCTACACATTTATTCAAGGAACTCAAGGGCTTTAAGGGCGTCCCGATCAGATATCAATACTGGTCCGATATTAGCCAGAAAAATTTATGTTGGATCATATCGACCTGCATCTAAAACCTCTGATATAAGGTCTACTTTTTATTTATTTTAATTAATTGTATAATATTCTTAGGTTTAAGTTAAAAATGTATGTGAGCCATTGCTTAATAATAAATGGGTCAGTTTTCTCATACCTATGGTTATTGTTCAATGTTTGACTTGATCAAGACTTGAAGTGTTCATCAAGATTCCACACTACAAAATTAATAAAAGTATGTGTAAGTCATTCTGATACTGTATCAGGTCAATATCAGTGTTGGCCAACACTCAAGGCTGCAATATTGATATCGTATGGGAAGTGAAAAAGTAGTATTGGGACATCGCTAAGATTATTTCTCTCTTTCTCCCCAGTCTTTGGATTTAAACCAGATTCTAGAACAGCTACTCTTTGTTGATTCTAAAAAAAAAAGAAGAAGAAGAGCTAAATCCTCTAAATTTAAAGCTGTTCAATCCCACACAAAGGCAGCCCCCTGGTCACCCGACCTCCCAGTTTCTCTAAGTCTCTTACCCAGCCACACTACCTTGCACACTCCGTTAACGCAGATGTTTCTGGACTTGTTGTTCATGAAGCACGGGGTTCCGTCGGTCACCGTGTCGAGCATCTTCTCAGAAAAATACTCACCGACTGGTCGACAGTGGAGCTCGCAGGGAATCACTGAGGAYAATCGTGAGATGAAATGCTAATTTAAGTCCAGTTAAAAGTATTTAACAAAATTGTCCCAAACTGATATAATAATAGCATGTTCCCTGCATGTTTTTACAAAGCTAAAATAGAAAACCGATACTATTACAATCATATGTTTTGTATGAAATATAACTTGCCGTTTTAAYTGTGATTTAAATTTACAAACTAACAGAAACTCCACAGAACTGCATCACAGCTGTGGAGGGCTTTCAAGTTCAAATGCTGCCCCCTGCTGGACAAAATACACAACTGCATCTACTGATCACTGTTTCTCCTCCCATGTAACACATGAACATTAACCAGTGTTGTATAAAGCAGTGTTTCCCAAAGTTGGGTTTGGGACCCAAAGTGGGGTCCCGAAACATCAAAGTGGGGTCTTGAAAAGATTTTCCGAATTAATGAGATTTTTGCCTTAGTTGTTACAAAGGAGTGAGGTTAGTGTATTTAAAATGGATAAATGKACCGTAGTATAAAAAATGTTGTTACTTTGTCCATGTTTTGTTGACCTGATACAAATGTTTATCATTCAAAAAGAGTTGTGGGCACAGGTCTCTGCTACTGTTATTTTTGTGGGTTAAAAGCTGAAAAGTTTGGGAACCACTGGTATAAAGTACCTCAAAGCGATACTTGAGTTAAAGTATTTTAGCATGAAATTACTTTGGTTAACGTTAAAGTCTCCTCTAAGAATATTACTKGAGTAAAAGTCTTAAAATATCTGAGTTYTTTTGTACTTAAGTATCGAAAATAAATTTCTGACATTAAATGTACTTAAGTATTAAATGTAAAAGTATTGTGTAAAAATGAGCAGTTAGATTTTTCAAAAATAACATTTATTGGGAGGTGACCTCTCCAAAACATATTTTTTTTCTAAAGGCAGCTGGGAAGGATTGTGTGCAATCTAATACAGTGTCCGAATAGAATTGTATTTGGATGAGAAGTATAAAAATTCTCTCTATCCAGTAGGATTTATCAGGATAGTATAATAAGAGTAACGACTTCCTACTTCTTACCTTTTTTAAAAATGTAGGGAGTAGAATGTACAAATAATTGTGTAAAAATGTAAGAAAAAGTAAGAAGTCTGCTGAAAAGTAATTAATCAATTAAAGTACAGATAACCAAACTTTCTACTTAAGTACAGTAACAAAGTATTTGTACTTAGTTATTTTACAACTCTAACATTAACTTTTAGAACCACACCAACTAAAGATGGCTACCACAGTCAATTAAACCAAATGTGTTTGTGTAACCCTGTCCATTTTACACATATTGATAAAACGTCAAAGATGTGTGAGAGTTGTCGTAACACTATTTRAACATTTAACAAATTAAAAATGTTGAGTGTAGACAGAACCAGTTTCATTCTTGATGGCCTAAATGTTCACTTCAACCAGGAAGAACTAAAACGTTTTGCCAAATTATTATGTGATAAAAAGGCTTGCAATATCTGCAACACTTACAAGGGTTAGCAACAGGAATCCACTGGTAGAGCTCATTGTGGTAGGGCACCGTGTCAAACTCACTGCACAGCATCTCTCTGAAGGTTGGTTTGTTGTTCTGACAAGGTTTGGTGTTGCAGGTCCGGTAACGCTTCCTCTCTCCAGTGCAGTACTTGCCTCCAAACTCTGGTCTGTCAGGAAGCGACACGTTTTATRATCAAACCGTAAACAGCACATAACTGGTTAGAAATAAATTTTAATAATGAGCGAGGCGTATTTGTGTGAACTCTTACTTTGGATTGTTGCACTCTCTGTCTGCAGACTGGACTCCAGTTCCACAGGTCCTGGAGCAGTGAGACCATTTGCTCCACTGGCCCCAGCCTCCGTTCACCGTCTCGGGGAGTTTTCCCACAGTTACGCACTCTCCAGAGATACACCACTTATTGGAAAACAAATAAAAAAAATATGATAAGGGTACATGAATGCATGAATCGGGGTTTTAACCTCCTGCAGAGACAGAACCGATTGATTACCTTTTCAGGACCACAGCGAGTACCATCGATGGGTGAGTCCAGTTTGGAGCGACAGGATCCGTTCACGGAACACCAGAGAATCTGGCAAACGTTCTGAAAGGAGCCATAAATAATGAGGAAGGGATGTTTTCAGGACTTCCAACGTTCATAAATCAGCCTTTGTGCGTGACGTCCTCACATCGATCTCGGGGCAGAAGGTGGCGTTGGGCCCGTACTGGAGCTGACACTGATGGTGTGTGGTGTAACGAATGCCAAGGCGAGCCAGCGGGGTGGTTAGGTCTCTCTTAGAAGGGCGGTCATCCAAGCAGGAACCCCAGCCACGGCTGAAATACAACCGTGGAGATTTGAAACAGCGAGGTATTTTTTGGAAGGAGATTATAGAAATAAAAATGTATGATGAATGGGATACAGATGATCCTGAAAGGTTTTTCTAAMGATTTTAGAGTTATATCTGCAAACTTTACTCAACAATAAATAAACATAAATACTTCTCTTGATATCTTGATACTTAATGGCTCTTTATTGATGACCTATTTTCACTCACTTGGTTTCTTACTTTATGAATATTTGTTGATTTTTTTTGCTTGACTTTGCAATGATACCTTAAAGGCAAAATAAATAAAAAAGATTTTTCCCAGAATTCTGTTTTTACACGAGCTCACTTTTGACCTCTGACCTTTCAGCAGCAGGTATTCCTTCATCTCTGACTTCTATTCCTACAGCAAATAATGACAGCCAAAGCAAACACTTGAAGGTATTTGTGCAAGCGTTAACACCCTCTCATGTTCCCTTTTTGCTCCCTTTTTTATTGCTTTTCTTAAACTGGTTTGGTTGTCTGGTTTTAAATGAGCCGAGCCTGAAAACTTTTGTGCTTCTGCGCTTTGCTTTTACATAAAAAAAAGAATCCTTTGAGTGCCAGGGTGTCGTTTTCCCTCAAACTCACCCMAGATTTAACGCAAATCTGAATGTCACATTCTCAAACAGAATTCATCTAATAWTTAAAAATGTTCACAGTCATGAAAATGTACACAAATCTCATGTTTTTTTTTAAATGTGGTGAAATGAACTAATTTTTTTTTTTTTTCATTTTTCAAAGGAGACGTGATTTATTTAAGTCATTCAGTTGGGGTCTATATATAAAGTGGAACTGCAATACTTTGGTCTGAATTCCTCCTTACTGTAACTCCACAAGCCCCTCTTTCACCCCTGTGTGTCTCAGATCAACTCATTTCGAGGCTGCCTCTTTAAATCTAAACAAAGTGCTCCACAACCTGCCCCCCTCCAGCTTCCAGATTGGTCCATTCTAGTTTGATGGAGGGATTTACGACTATAAAGCAGCACAGAAACAGATTGAAAAATATGATCCAAACAGAATATAAAGATATCTACACAGCACAGGGAGAGACTAAATTAAATTTATCTGCACTCCTAAAGACTCCAAGTACACAACAAAATGTATTTAACAGATAAAAAAAGTGGATTTTGCATGCAATGTCCTTATTAAAATTGAACAACTTACTCCAGAAAGCGAGTGATGTAGTCTTTGGAGCAAGAAGACCAAGTGAGAGGAGAGCTGTCATACATCAGCTGTCTGGACATGATGAAGGGGTGTTTCCCTTCCAGCTCACAGTCGTTCCC